TCAACTAACTATATTTTATATATCTGCATACAAACATTTCTCAAATGAATTAATTTTTCATTTCGAATTTTCAATAAAATTGAATTCCTGTGACACAGGAATTAGTTTGAAAAAAATTGCATTTATAAAATGAAAACAATTTCACAGATATATCATATAATTCTAATCGTTAAAATAAATAATCCAGCAAAAGCATTTTTTACTGCGTTCTGTAAAGAATAAATGTTCTTTTAATCAGTTGCTGATTCCAAATCATCTTTGCCGTAATATTTTGATGATAATTCATTTGCTTTGTCAGCTTTCTTTTTCTTCTTACTGAAAAACCAAATTGCAAAAATAACTGGCAAAACTAACAAAACCAATATAACCCACAAAACATTTAAATTCGTTTTAAGTAGTTCAGTGGAGGCGGTAGAAGTTATATATATAGACACAGTTGCTGCTGCAGAAAAGTTTCTATTTGCAGCTGCTGCAGAAAAGTTTCTATTTGCAGTAGTGGTGGCATAAACGTCAAAACAGGAAATGACCATTCTATTTCCGTTTTTTACTTCCTCACAGGTTTTATTTTCGCATCTTCCGTTAAAAAGATCGCATCCGGCTTCAAACACTTCTAACTCTGCCAGTGAGGCAACACCTTCATGCAGTCTTTCATCCGATTGTTGGATGATGACGAATCGTGAAAAGATGGTGAAGTCTTCACAGAAGACAACCATGGGGTTTCCACTTTGTATTGCTTTTTCTGGTCCATATCCGCACAAGTTAGTTTGGTTTCTTATGTCGTTTTTGGAAGTTGTGTCGAATGTTTCGTTGAGTCTAACGACAAACTTGTTCATACGATCTACATTTTGTGGCACTGCTGCAAGTCTGTTATAGGCTTTAATGAAACCAACGCAGTATAAATTGAGTAGGTCAACAGCCATCCAAGCTGGCATAACATCATTGATGTGGGAAATAAAATATCCATTGTGTATGCCGTCAGTTAGGTATACTTGGTTCTTTGAATACATACCGTCGACTGTTCCTGAAGGCCACAGCGAACTGTAATATGGAGGTTTATGAAGAGCTATATTCATCCTGAAAACCTCACATTGGTACCACTTGTTTCTGACCTTACCAGAGGGACAGACGCATTCAACGAAATTTTCATCATTCACTGTGGACTCAATACATTTCATTCCAACGGGACAATCTCCTCCATCTGATGAGCAATCCCTTTCTCTGCATGAATCACCTCTCCATCCCGGATCGCATCCATCGGGACAGTTTGTTGTTATTTCGTAACTTCCGTTGTTTCTGTTTCTGCAGTGAGAATAAGTTGATACTCTTCGCTGGAAATCGTATTGGGAGCGTGTTGAAAATATTGTGGTCTTGCTTTGGTGATTTTTATGATAACACTCGCAAACTTCGTTCAAATCATGTTTGCATTTTTCACATATCTGTTCTTGCACGTAACCTCCAGTTATTTGATGCTCTTGGAAACAACTGCACCTACCACTTTTGATTGTTTGAAAGAATGTATGATTCGTTTCAAAGCAAAAATGTGCGCACATCTCGAGAGTGAAAGAAGCTGGTAAGATCATCATGATATTCTCAGTTTGACGAATTTTCACGCTTAAATAAGTGTCGTGCATCACTCGTGGCTTGCTTTTATAAACGGAATAAGTATGACTTCCACCACAATCATCTACATTGTCGCAAATAACATCACACTGGGATGAAGCCACTGCTGAATCTAACTTTTCAATACAGTTGCATTCTTCTCCATTCTTCAAAGCGATCATATTGTTACGTTCATCTGTGCACTCCAGTGAACATTCATTCACTGAGCCAACTGTTGCAACTGTCTTCGTTGAGCTGATGTTTCGATAGCATCCTATGTAAGATTCTTTCAAGTCGATTGCTGCATAGGCTACTGAGGACAGGCTGATGGAAATAATTAATAATAATGATAATAATAATGTGCAAATTATTAATGACATTAAAAGAAATTCAAATTCTGAAATCGGAACTATTTATTTTAAGTTTTGTTTTTATATTGTTTACAATTTTGTGACAATGATATGACGTAACTTCGTTGGTTTACTTCTTTTGTATTAAGATTTTATTCAAATCATAATTTAGGGCTAAATTTTGTTTCATTTGTTACCATTTCAAAAGAACATAGGTTGTTTTAAATAAAAAATTAAGTATAACAACAATTTGCTAGTTAAATAAAAATATTGATAAGATTTAACAGTAATAATAATAACAATAATAACTTTAGTGTTATTACATTTTATTGATAGAAATGTTTGTATAATGTGTTCATTTGTATACATCCACGTACATGAATGTATGTATGCATGAATCAAATCAAATATTGTATTTATATAGCGCCAATTATAATTGCTTCTCATCAGCGCTCTCCCCGCGTAGGAAGCATGTTGAAAGCGAAGCCATCATCGGTTGAGATCACTGGGAGTTACCAAATAGGTATGTCTTTAGACGTTTTCTAAACTCAGCTAATGATAACCCGGATATACGTAGTTCGATAGGTAGGCTGTTCCAAAAAATAGGCCCAGCAACTGCAAAATCTCTATCTGCATCTGCTGTTTTCAGATTCCGATCTCTAACATACAGCGTGTTTGAATCAGCAGACCTTAGACGCCCATGCGATGATATAGATGAAACTCGAATACACTTATCTTCTAAATATTTCGGAGCCAGACCATTCAAACTTTTAAATACTATTACACCCAACTTGAACACGATTCTTTGTTTAACACGCAGCCAATGCAACTCCTTTAGAATTGGTGATGCATGATCAAATTTTAATATGCGATATATGATTCTAGCAGCCTGATTCTGAACCATCTGAAGTTTAGACAACAGTTTATCAGCTATGCCATATAAGAAGACTGTTACAATAATCCAATCTAGAGTTGACGAAAGCAAGTACTAATAGAGTCATTGTATCTCTATTTACCGATTTTGTGACTTGACGTAATTGACGTAGTTGGAACATACATTTTTTTACCAATAGACTGACTTGTGGACCCATTGTCATACGGGAGTCCATCACAATTTCCAAATTGGTAACCGTTTTACTGAAACTTATATCAGTCATGCTGATGTTAATCGATGAAGGTTCAACCGCTGACGTTTGTTTCCATGTACCAGCCAACATGAACTGAGTCTTAGTCTGATTCAACTTTAGCCTACTTTGACCCATCCACGAGCCGACATCAGATATAGTTTTTGTCAGTTTCTCTAATATGGTAGGCATCTTATCTGGAAAACATAAAACGCAAATGTGCATGTCATCTGCGTACCCATGGCAATAATAACCATCTTTATTCAGTAAATCCAATATCTCTGCAACGTACAAATTAAAAAGAATCGGTCCAAGAAGAGATCTTGAGGCACCCCTGACGTAAGTTTCATTGGTTCCGAGATACCACCTGAGTAAGAAATCTGTTGAGTCCGACCAGTAAGAAATGATTGGAACCACGTTAACGCAATCTTAACCATAACAATATTTCCACAACAACCACAACAATCTAAACCATAACAATATTTCAGTCTGTTCAGCAGGATTTTATGATTCACAGTATCGAACGCCGAACTCATGTCCAGAAATGTCAACCAAGTTACTTTTTGTACATTAACTGCTGAATAAACATGACAGAATTAATCCGATAGAGCTGTTTCGGTCGAATGAAACCATCTGTATCCAGATTGATGCAAAGGCCAAATACCATTTTTATTTATATGATTATTTAAAACTAACTCAACGGAACGTTCTATAATTTTAGAAACGAAAGACAAATTTGACACCGGCCTATAGTTTATCAGATCTGATTTGTCTAATCCTGTCTTTTTTAGAATTGGCGTGACAATTGCATGCTTGCAAACCTGTGGCATTACACTCTTCGTTAAGCACATGTTGATTAAGTCCGTTAAGTAAACAATAAAACAGTCAGCATATTCATTGAGCACATGCATCGGTATTGGGTCGAGTGAGCCTGACTTCGTAGGTAACAAATTAACAACTTTAGATATCTGTTTTTCAGTCAACACTGGAAACGATTCGAGTGGAAACATAATATTAGTAGAAATAACTGGAAAATTAAAACATTCAGCTGACTTTTCGGTCACTTTCAACTTGTCAACAGAAAATTTTTTAAAATCATCGGCGCTATGCATTGAACCAACTTCATTTTCAACACTTGTCTCTTTTCCTAATAATTTATTTATCGTTTGCCATAAGTATTTGGAATTATTTTTAAATTGACATGTTTTCGCGAACCAAAAACTCCTTCGTTTCACTGAGTAACAAACATTTTTTTGTTTTATTGCCAGTACCCAATCAACTTTATCATTATAACAACCAGTAGTTCTGAACCTTCTTTCTTTTTTTCGACACATTTGCTTAGCCTTTTTGCAGTCACTGTCAAACCATGGGGCAGTCGGGACATGTTTCCATCGAACTTCATGAAGCGGAGCAACATCGTCAGCAATTTTTAAAAGTTTTTCATTGAATATTTTAAAAGCCAATTCGAAATCATCATCTTGACCATAATGTTTCGAGATAGGTGAGCACCTCAAAAGCTCAGTCAGACGTTTTTTATCCACTCGTTTCCAAGATCTGATCCACGATTTCTTGAAAATGACTGGAGTCGGATTGATTAAAAATTGACCAGTCACTAAACCATGATCTGAATAGATACCAGATGGGTACACCAATGTATGTATGTATGTATGTATGTATGTATGTATGTATGTATGTATGTATGTATGTATGTATGTATGTATGTATGTATGTATGTATGTATGTATGTATGTATGTATGTATGTATGTATGTATGTATGTATGTATGTATGTATGTATGTATGTATGTATGTATGTATGTATGTATGTATGTATGTATGTATGTATGTATGTATGTATGTATGTATGTATGTATGTATGTATGCATGCATGCATGCATGCATGCATGCATGCATGTATGTATGTATGTATGAATCGTAACGACTGTAATAATGAAATTTTGAAATTGAATACAGCCGCAAATAATGATTTGATGCAAAAACCAATTTTATGGTCTGATGCAATTAAAATACCAGCTGAGGTAAATGTACTGCCACTTACAGATAAAATACCAGTTGAGGTAGATGCATCACCATTCACTGTTGTAAACAGACCGAGGAAAAACCAAAACAAAAATATTCCTGAAATGAAGAGTGATGAAAATATCGTTAACACCGAAACTGGAAAAAAGAAAAAAGGTGTCAAAAAGATAATTGGAAACAAAGATAGTGAAGATTGTAAACTGAAGGCGAATAAGATTTTGATTAAAAAATCTTTCTTTTCAGTAAGTAACGTGATGAAGTGTCACAGAAATGATGTAGTTGAATATCTAAAGTCAAATGATATTAATGTGTTATCGTGTTACCCAGTGTTGAAGCGTTCAGAAATGGCAAACGATAGCACACCTGATATTGAAAATGAGCATTCAACAATGTTTCGAGTTTGTGTAGAAAGTTGTGACAGCAATAAAATGAAAAATCCTGATATCATTCTGAAACATATTATTGTAAAAGACTGGCACTTTAAAGAAAAAAAACCCGCAAATAATTTCGTGGATAGTAATTTTTCGGATTGTTTTTTTACTATTGACAAAAATGAAGTATGTGAAAATGTTGAAAACTCTCAGCAAAATATTGCCAACATATGTAAGATTTATGATGTAAATGATTTTAACTCTGAAATGAAAATAATTAAAAATCAATTTAATCAAAATTTATTCAATATTCTACATATAAACGTAAGAAGTTTGTTGAATAAATCTGATGACATTTATGATTTCTTGCGAGAATTGAATTTTGAGATTGATGTTCTCGCAATTTCTGAAAGTTGGCTCAATGACAGCAACGAAAATTTGATTGACATTAACGGATATGTCTTTAAAGGTAAGCACCGAAGAATAAAACACGGTGGAGGAGTCGGCTTTTACAAAAAAAACAATTTAGATTACAAAATCCGAGACGACATAACAAGTAAAAAAAATGAATTCGAATTTTTCGTTCTAGAAATAATAAACAGACCTATCACAAAAAATGTTTTAATCATTGTGACATACCACCAACTTATGAGGTCAATTCGTTCATCGAATGTTTAGATGATATTTTGCTGGTTGCAAATCATGAAAACAAATTAATAATAGTTGCAGGTGATTTCAACATTGACCTGTCAGAAAGTAACAACAACAACAATAAGTTCAATTTTTTGCAACTTATGAACAGCTACAGTTTACAACAAACAATAACACTTCCGACAAGAGTAGAATGTAATCGACAATCTATTATTATTGACAACATCTTCACAAACATTCCTGAAAACATCTTGGTTTTCGGCGTTATTTCTCACTGTCTTTCCGACCACCAGCCAGTTTTTTCATCAATCAATCTTTCAAAAAAAATGTTTATGTTTCCTAAAAAAAGAAATGCTCCATCAGTAAAATTTTCTTATTCAACAAACAGAATCAACAATCTAAATCAACGTCTCAGTCAGGTGAACTGGCAAGTCGTATATGAGAGCGCAAATATTGAAGAGGCATTCCAAACTTTTATAATTATTTTCCAGGAATGTTTTCGTGAATGCCGTCAAGTTACCAATCGAAATACTATTATAAAAACAATAAAAAACAAACCTTGGGTCTCTTCTGAGTTAAAAAATCTCATCACAAAAAGAAATAAAAGTTACAAAAAGTTTATTTTGATTCCTAATAATAATAATTTAAATAAATTCAAAAGCCTTAAAATAACTTGTAATAAACTAAATAAATCTTTAAAAAAAATTATTTTTTTAAAGACGTAAAACCCGATAGTATACAAAAATTAAAAAATGAAGAAATTGAAATACCTGACCCAGCAAATGCTTTAAATAACTATTTTGTTGAACACCGTATTAACACCGAATTTACTGAAGCTCATTCCACGGAATTCTCACTGGAAGAATTACTTCAAGACATTTGTTTCCAACTCGTTTTTTTGTAGATACGCAACGGCTGATGAGATCATTGCAACAGCAAAATCTTTGAAACAAAAAACATCAAGTGGCTACGATGACATACCAACAAAAATTGTCGTCTCTACGATTCATTCTACTGTGTTTGTTCTAGAATATTTGATAAATCTATCTTTTGAAAAGGGCAAATTTCCAAGCTGTCTCAAAATCGCCAAGGTAATTCCTATTGAAAAAATTAAAGGAAAAACAGATTTATCAAGTTTTCGCCCTATATCACTCTTGCCAGCATTTTCAAAAATACTTGAAAAACTAATGCACCGACGAATGACTAGTTTTTTGCAAAAAAATAATATTTTGTCAAATTCCCAATTTGGTTTCAGAGAGAAATTTTCTACAGAATTAGCAATCGTAGAACTAGTTCGCAAGATTGGCATCAATACTGAATGTAAAAGATTTGTCATAGGAACGTGCTTAGATCTGTCGAAAGCATTTGATTGCATCAACCACGACATCATGCTCAACAAGTAGGAAAAGTACGGTTTTAGAAATACATCACTGCATTGGTTTCGTAGCTACTTAACAGAAAGAAAACAATTTGTCTATGTCAACGATGAAATTTCCAGTCTGCTCGGAAACAACAACGGTGTGCCTCAAGGAAGCATCCTAGGTCCTTTGTTATTTATATTGTACATAAACGATCTTCCAGCTGCATCAGCGTTTTTTGACTACGCAATTTATGCTGATGACACGAATGTTTTTAGCAGCGGCAGATCAATGAAAGAACTTATTGAGGAAACAAACAGAGAGTTAAAAAACATAATCTCTTGGTTCGAAGCCAATAAACTTTCAATTAACAGTTCAAAAAGCCAAATGATGGTTTTTGGACCCGGACAATATCTAAATTACAAGGAGCCGTATAAAATCATCCTAGGTAACAACACAATTGTTGAAACAAAGTGTTTAAGACTTCTAGGCATGCTGCTCGATCAGAAACTCTTCTTCAAACATCACATAAAACAAGTATCATCCAAACTTTCAAAGTCAATAGGAATGATAAACAGAGTAAAATCATTTTTGCCAAAAAAACTGTTTGAATCTTCTGTATAATTCCCTGTGCATTTCGTTAATAAACTACTGCAACATTGTATGGGCTTCATCGTACCACACATCAACCTTACCAATAGAAATATTAATCAAAAGAGCAGTTAGATTGATAACGAGATCCAAACGATTTGAACACAGCCAACCATTGTTCAACAGCACGCGAAACTTGAATTTCTCGAAACTCAGCATTTACTTTCTGATAATTTTTGTTTATAAACAGTTAACCAATCGATTACCTGATTTATTTAACAGTTATTTCAGGATGAAACAACAATGTTGGCAACAAAATAATCTTGTCTCTAACAAATCGAAAACGAATATTTTGTTCTCTCACGTGTATTGCAAGGGACCGAGAATCTGGAACGAAATTTTAAACAGTGGATTTAATTTTGAATTTATTTCGTTAAACAATTTTTAAAAAAAGTTGAAAGATTATTTACTTAAGTTTAAAACATAAATTTTTTGTTTCTGAAATTACGTTTAAATTCTGTTGAAAACTTATAACATTTTAAAAATTATGTCAAGGTGGTCGCACTCGATGAGTTTCTGAAAAGAACTCTACTGTGGTCATCCTGTCTTCTTCCTATTGATATAAAGGGGAGAGAATTCTTTTTTTCTCTTTTTTTTAGATTAATTTTGAGAAGCAAATAAAAATTCGTTTCGTTTCGTATGTATGTATGTGTGTATGTATGTATGTATGCATGTGTGTATGCATGTATGAATGTATGATCAAAAAAATTAAAAACTGATCAACGAAAATAGCGGATCTCCTAAGAATTTATGGAATATAATATACAAAGTATTATGTAATCAAGTTACCGGAAAATCCGAAAATTCATCAGACTGTGTCTAACATAAACTGCTCTTTCTCTGATTTTACGCTTCTTACAGAATTGGAGGTCAAAAAGTTGGTGTTCAGCTTACCATCCAAGACTTGCTTGATTGAAGTTTTTCCCACATATATTTAAAAAATATATTGAACTGTTTATAGTTTTTCTGACGAGTTTTATAAATTTGAGTTTAAACAGTGGTTTTTCTCCTCTTTGGTGTAAACAAGCAGTAATTTATCTTGAATTAAAAAAAGTGAACTTGAATAAAAATGATTTGACTAGTTATAGACCAATTTCCAATATTTGCTTTATTTCTAAATAAATCGAACAAGTGGTTGTTAAACAGCTTTTGAATTATCTGATTTCAAACAGCCTGTTACCAGTTCATCAGTCAGGATATCGTCGACACCACTCTACTGAGACAGCGCTACTTTATGTTTTCTTTAAACTGTTTGCTGCGCTTGACAAACAACATGTGGTCTTAGTAACTTTTTTGATTTTGTCGATCATCAAATACTTCTGAAAAAATTAGCTTATGAATATGGTATATCTGGTGCAGTTATTGAATGGTTTAGATCATATCTGGATGGTATGAAGCAGCAGGTAGTTTTCAGAAATGTATAACCTGAGGAAATGGTTTTGACATCAGGAATACCACAAGGCTCAGTGCTAGGACCTATTGTTTTTGTTATGTATACTGCCGAGGTTTTAAAGGTGATTGAGGAGTTCGGTTTTAGGTATCATGCTTTACTACGATGTGAAATAAATAAACTCGTCAAGTGTTTAAAAAATATTGAATTGTGGATGTCTAACAATGGTCTTAAATTAAACCAACAAAAGTCAAAATTTCTTCCCATTGGGACATGGCAGCAGTTAAAAAAATCTAATATTGATTCAGTGGAAATTGATGATGTCAAAATTAGTTTTTGCAATAAAGTAACTAATTTGGGTTGTTCACTGGATTCCAGATTATCAGTGCATGATCAAATAAAAACGATAACAAAAGCATGTTCCTTTCAGATCAAAGAGTTATATAAGGTTCGAAATTCTTTAAATAAACTTGCCATTCAGACGTTGGTACATGCACTAGTTCTTTATAGATTTGATTTTTGCAATGGCCTCTTCTATGAGTTGCCTGATAAACATGTTTCTACTCTTCAGTCCATTCAGAATAGAGCAGCCAAGTTGATTGTAGGTGGTCTCAGATATAATCATCTAACTCCAATTTCGGAAAGTCTTCATTGGCTTACTATAAAAATAAGAATTATATACAAAAAAAGTCTAATAATGTATAAAGCGTTACATGGCCTATTACCAAGTTACCTAATTAACAAAATAGAAGAAAAATCTGTAATGACGAGTGGCATGTAACTTAATGTAACATGGCATCAGATGATAACATTTTGCTGGTAGTCCAGCACATAAATTGCAAGATCGCATCAAGAATTTTGGCTGTTTTAGGACCGGCTGTTTGGAATAGTTTGCCAAGATCTTTGAAATCTAAGGATTTGCAACTGGACGATTTTAAGAAAAACTTGAAAACCTTTTATGTTTAAACTTTGATTTCGATACTGAATTGTTTATTTGTAACCGCCATCTTATACATACTTTACTTTAACTCTTATAACTAATTTAATATAGATTGCGCTTTTGAGAACTTTTTCATTTTAATTAGTGCTTAATTAAATATCTTATATATATATATATATATATATATATATATATATATATATATATATATATATATTAATATAAGCTAAATTTTTAGATGGTTGGGCTAAACCTAATATCAACCCCTGGTTACACTTTTGGCAAAAAGGTAACACCCTGGTTTGTGGGTACTAACAACACGTTGGTGTTTTTTCTTATTTCAACGATTGCTGTTAAGTATATATTTTCTGATTATTATTATTATTCTTATTATTATGGAAAAAAACATGGGCGAAAACACATAACAGCAACACAAAATTAACTATAAAATTTTAATACATAAACAGTGTACATGAATATATGTTAATATGTTCTTCTCATACATAAAGTTCAAAGAAAAATATAAATATCAACAAAAATATAAGAGAATAATTTCTATTATTAATTCAACTAACTATATTTTATATATCTGCATACAAACATTTCTCAATAGAATTAATTTTTCATTTCGAATTTTCAATAAAGTTGTATTCCTGTGACACAGTTAGTTGTTTGAAAACAATTGCATTTATAAAAGGAAAACAATTTCACAGAAATATAATTCTACTCGTTAAAACAAATAATCCAGCAAAAGCATTTTTTATTGTGTTCTGTAAAGCATAAATGTTCTCTTAATCAGTTTCTGATTCCAAATCAGATTCCAAATCAGATTCCAAATCTTCGCCGGAAGGTTTCGGTGATAATTCATTTGCATTGTCAGCTTCCATTTTCTTTTTTCTGAAAAACCAAATTGCAAAAATAGCTGGCAAAACCAACAAAAGCAATAGAAACTCCAAACCACTTAAATTCGTTTCACTGGAGGCGGTAGAATTCATATATTCTGAAAAGTTTGTATTTGCAATAGTGGAGGCGGTAGAATTCATATATGCAGAAAAGTTTGTATTTGCAATAGTGGAGGCGGTAGAATTCATATATGCAGAAAAGTTTGTATTTGCAATAGTGGTGGAAATGACCGTCAACACATAATCGTCAACACAGGAAATGGCAATTCTATTTTCGTTTTTCACTTCCTCACAGGTTTCATTTTCGCATCTTCCGTTGAAAAGATCGCATCCGACTTCAAACACTTCTAACTCTGCGAGTGCGGTAACACCTTCATGCAGTCTTTCATCCGATTGTTGGATGATGACGAATTGTGAAAAGATGGTGAAGTCTTCACAGAAGACAACCATGGGGTTTCCACTTTGTATTGCTTTTTCTGGTCCATATCCGCACAAGTTAGTTTGGTTTCTTATGTCGTTTTTGGAAGTTGTGTCTAATGTTTCGTTGAGTCTAACGACAAACTTGTTCATACGATTTGAAATATGTGACTGTGCTGTAAATCTGTTATAGGCTCTAATGAAACCAACGCAGTATAAATTGAGTAGGTCGACAGCCATCCAAGCTGGCATAACATCATTGATGTGCGATATAAAATATCCATTGTGTATGCCGTCAGTTAGGTGTACTTGGTTCTTTGAATACATACCGTCGACTGTTTCTGAAGGCCACAGCGAACTGTAATACGGAGGTTTATGAAGAGCTATATTCATCCTGAAAACCTCACATTGGTACCACTTGTTTCTGACCTTACCAGAGGGACAGACGCATTCAACGTACTTATTACCATTCACCGTGGACTCAATACATTCCATTCCAACGGGACAATCTCCTCCACCTGAAGAGCAATCTCTTTCTCTGCATGAATCACCTCTCCATCCCGGATCGCATCCATCGGGACAGTTTGCTGTTATTTCGTAACTTCCGTTGTTTCTGTTTCTGCAGTGAGAATAAGTTGATACTCCTCGTTGGAAATCGTATTGGGAGCGTGCTGAAAATATTGTGGTCTTGTTTTGGTGATTTTTATGATAACTCTCGCAAACTTCGTTCAATTCATGTTTGCATTTTTCACATATCTGTTCTTGCACGTAACCTAGAGATATTTGATGCTTTTGGAAACAACTGCACCTACCACTTTTGATTGTTTGAAAGAATGTATGATTCGTTTCAAAGCAAAAATGTGCGCACATTTCGAGATTGAAAGAAGCTGGTAAGTTCATCATGATATTCTCAGGTTGACGATCATTCACGCTTAAATAAGTGTCGTGCATCACTCGTGGCTTGCTTTTATAAACGGAATATGAATCCTTTCCACCACAAGCATCTTTATTGTCGCAAGGAACATTACACTGGGATGAAGCCACTGCTGAATCTAACTTTTCAATGCAGTTGCATTCTTTTCCACTCTTCAAAGCGATCATATTGTTACGTTCATCTGTGCACTCCAGTGAACATTCATTCACTGAGCCAACTGATGCAACTGTCTTTGTTGAGCTGATGTTTCGATAGCATCCTATGTAAGATTCTTTCAGGTCGATTGCTGCATAGGCTACTGAGGACAGGCTGATGGAAATAATTAATAATAATGATAATAATGTGCAAATTATTAATGACATTAAAAGAAATTCAAATTCTGAAATCGGAACTATTTATTCTAAGTTTTGTTTTTATATTGTTTACAATTTTGTGACATAACTTCGTTGGTTTAAATCATAATTTAGGGCTGAATTTTTTTTTTCATTTTTTACCATTCCAAAAGAACATAAGTATAATAAAATGAATAAATAAAAAACTTCAGTAAATAACAATAATTTGCTAGTTGAATAAAAATATTAATAAGATTTAATAGTAATATTATTAATAATAATAACTTTAGTGTTATTACATTCTAACCATAGAAATGTTTGTATACATGTGTGCGTTTGTATACATCCACGTACATGAATGTACGTTCGAATGTATGTATGTTTTTGTTTTTTTTTTTTATTTATTTTCTCAAAAAAAAGGTGTAAACTAAAAAGCAACCAAATGCTTGTAGGAAAGTCACCCTATCCAAATGAAATTAAAATTGATCAACATAAATTAAAGATTAAAGTACTTCAACAAAAATCAATGATTAAATTAGTTCGAAATAAAAAATACATGGGGAGTAGGTACGATTGTTTCTATTATCGTTAATAATGTTTAATGTAAAATAATCAAAACCTAACTATTAAACAATTTTTAAAATTGAATAATAATTGAATATGATCGGGCAATATTGTTAGTGTTAATGTTAATATTTTTAAAACAGGGTAATATTTTGAAACAGAGCAAAACAGATGAAGATTTAGTAACAAACGAATGAAACGGTTTTGACACCGTTTGACCTGATTCAAGTGTACAGCAGGACAATTACCCCAAAATAAGTTACAATAAACAAGATGAGGATAAATGAGTGTGTTATACAGTTCCAAAGGTATATTTCTATTTAGTTTATGTTTGATCTTGTGTAGTATACCTATTAATTTTGTTAAATTTGTCAGAAATAAAATTAATATGGTTGTCCCAGGAAAGATTATCTTTAACTAAGACTCCAAGAAACCTAATTGAATATGATCGGGCAATATTGTTAGTGTTAATGTTAATATTCAAGTCAGGCAAAGAATTTGTTAAAATTCTCGGACCAAATATTAAATAACTGCATTTGGAATAGTTGATTTTAAGCTTATTTAAGGTAAACCAGTTAACTATTTTTTCAAGTTCACCATTTATTAGAGACGAATCATTTGCAGGATTCCTGGTGTGAAAAAGAATAGTGGTGTCATCCGCATAAAGAACAAATTTGGCTATTTCAGAGGCATGACACAAATCGTTAATAAATAGTGTAAAGAGAAGAGGTCCTAGAATGGAACCTTGAGGAACTCCAAAACTGATATTAAGAGTCTCCGAACAGTGATCACCAATATTAACAAATTGTTTCCTATTCTTAAGATATGAGCAGAACCACAAATGTATTAGACCTCTAACACTATAGGAATACAGTTTGGCAAGTAGGATGTCATTGTCAATCCTATAATTATTAATGTCTTCTCTACTGCCCTTTTTGAAAATGGGAATTATCTTAGATTTTTTAAAACATTCAGGAAAGATGCCTTGCGAGAAAGAGAGATTGCAAATATGGGTGAAAGGGACTAAAACTTCGTTAATGATTTGTTTAATTAGAAAATTACTTAGTGTGTCTGTTGAGGTGCTTTTACTATTTTTTAAATTGTTAACTGTATTTAAAATCTCTGATTCATTAGTTAACTTTAAAAACATAGACTGATTATTTGATTTTAGAAATTTAGATGAAAATTGTGTTGAGATGGTATGACTGTTTGATTTTATTATATTAGTGAAATAAGTGTTCAGAGCATTACATATCTCTTTAGTATCTTCAATCGTTACATTGTTAATATTGAGACTATTGATAAATAAAGAAGAAGTGTTCTTGTTTAAAATTTTATTTATCAGTACCCATTTTTGTCTAGCGTCTGATTTAGCTGCAGAAAATTGTTGTTTGAAAAAATTATTTTCACTCTTCCTTTTATATGAAGTGAAATTATTTCTGAAATGTTTATATTTCAAATAGTTATGGACCGTAGGATTAAGCCGATAGAGTTTAAACAACTTGTTTTGTTTATTAGACATTTTGATAATATCATGGGTTATCCATGATTTTTTACTTATTGTTTTGTTCTTAGAAAAAGGAGCAAAACTATTCAAAGCACTATTAATTATACTGTAAAAAATTGAGCAAGCACTGTCAACACTAGCTTCATTCAAGACAGTTGACCAATCAACATATCTCAGAAAAAGTTTAATTAATCTTATATTATGTTTGGTGAGTCTGCGCACAAGTGAGGTGCATTCTAGCATTGACTTTAGCCTATGTTTATGAGATAAAGAAAAAATAGGAAAGTGGTCAGAAAAATCGGACACAATGATTCCGCTTTCTGCATAGTCTGGCGCGTTAGAAAAAATATTATCTATAAGAGTAGATGAAGTGGAGGTAACCCGAGTAGGAAAAAGTATCAAAGGACTAAAGTCATATGACAGAAGCAAATTTTGAAAATTTTTATTATGAATACAATTTGAGTTTAGAAGATTAATATTAAAGTCCCCGACTATATACGTTATTTGCGTCGATTTACATATATTTAAAATCAATTCCAATTTCATAATAAATAAATCTATTTTACTATTAGGTGGGTGATAAACAGCAATAACTTTGAAGGGTTTAAAAGCAGGAGTATGATCAGGTTTTAAAGTCATACATAATATATCAACAGATTGGTCATTAAAAATAGAGTCATTACAAATATTAAAAACAAGATTATTTTTCACAAAGATACCTACTCCACCACCTTGACGATTAGCCCTATTTTTAAAAACAAAGTTATATCCATAAAGATTGATTAGTTTAGCTGAAGCGTCATTTAACCACGTTTTACTAATAATAATTACATTAAAAAAATTACACAAGTGATTGGATAGAATTTGCAAATTAGACATTTTATTAAGAAGACTACGTGAATTGATGTGTAGAATGGAAAGATTGTTGTAGCTATGCGTATCAAAAGATTTAATAACATTATTATGAAAATCATCAATAGTTAAATATGAATTATTATAAAGATTCGACGAAATAGATCCAAAATTATTATGTGGTGTGTTATTCATGGTTGTCGGTGGTGTTGGTGTTCATTTGTACAATGTTGTCTTCAGATTTATCTATTGATTTTGTGATGTCATCCAGTGGCTTGTTGTTAGCGTCAAAAGGTTTGCTGTTGAAGTCAATTGATTTGTTGTTCATCAAATGGGGATTTACATCTATTGATTTATTATTATTACCATTATTACTACCTTTGTTGCTACCACCATTATTAATACCGTCATTATTACCATTATCATTATTGATTTATTATTGCTGTCCACCAAATTAGTGTTGAAAAGTCATTCTATAACGCGTACGTGTTCAGGCCACGCATCGGCAGATTCGACTATGCTAGCAAATTTGTTATCAACGCAAAGTCTAAAAGATGTAGATTGGTCGTTGTTTGCAAGCGCCTGGGCATAACTTTTCTTTAGAGCAGGGTAGCATGACAAAACTTCTACATCCACCAATTTCAAGTGTTCAATTAACTTTCACTGGTACATCTGTTGACGTTGCTGATGTGATAGAATTTTTTTTATTTTGTATTACTTTGCTCGCAGATATTTTTGACTGGGCTGCTTGTCTTTTACCAATTGTTGTAGTTCTTTGAGCTGTCATACTTTTCGTGTTGTTGATGATCGGAGAGTTCACTCTTGCACGTTTGTTTCTAGGTACGTAGAGCGTAAAATTATCAAAATTTGTAGTAGTATTCACCGGAGATTGTACACAGTCGGACCAACTAACATGTGCAACTGTCGGTTTTGAAAAATTTGCTTGATTGTTGTTGGCTTGATATTGAACTGTAGTTTGTGCATTAGTCTGTTTTGAATAATTGTTATTATCCAGTGATTGAGTCGATGTTTGTACAACATGCTGTTTTGCACTAATTGTTGGAGCGTTGTTAATTCGTAACATGGCTACGCTTTTGTTAACCTCCATTAATATTTTTGTATGAGTGCATAAGACCTTCAAAATGTCTGTACGCTTTTCGTTATCGTATGTTATATTAAAATTATCATTTAAATCTAATTCATAATTAAATCCAGGAATTTTATTCAGATTAAGGGACACATAAATTGATACCTTATTATCCAGTTTTTCTTTAAGCATGTATTTACAAACTTCAAGTAAGTTGTTTAATTTATCCAGTTTTTTAACGTTACCATGAATTACAAATTTTGGAATATTCGACGAATTCAAAAATTCTAAATCAGAAAGCAATAGCTTTTTAGCAAAAAAAATAATCCTCTGTATTAAACTTATCAGCAATAACGTTAATTAAACGGTTATTATCCAAATTTGCACCATTATTGAAAATAAAACACAACAATTCATTGACAATAACTTTTGCGGCCGCCATGTTAAGTTGTCAGGTGATAAATGAATGTATGTATGTATGTATGTATGTATGTATGTATGTATGTATGTATGTATGTATGTATGTATGTATGTATGTATGTATGTATGTATGTATGTATGTATGTATGTATGTATGTATGTTAAAACCAAAACATGATGAGTGACACTGAACCGTCAAACATCAAGTAACAAATGGATTAACACTTTGATTTGTCGTTAATTGCACATGTCGGCATTCAGTTGGATATTTTCAAGCACACAGACACGCAGGAACCGCTGCAACAAGCACGAAATGTGGTTGGTTGCAAAAAACAGTTCCCTGCTGTCACCTGATCTGACACTGATCCTTTTGCCTATTTCCTTAAGAAATTTAAGGGTGTTGGGGTCCATCGGGCCGAGAACCTCGATGCATATTGGCAAGAATTCCATCGAGGGGAGGGCATTCCCATATTTTTTCATTTTCTCGTCCGCTGCCCTGGCCGCGGCCAAACCGCATTCTTTACTTGTCAGGTTTACGTATCGTTCGGCGAGGGTGCCAGGGACCGTAACATCCCACGCCAAACATCTGCCGGCTCTCCAAGGTATTAGCGTGCATCCGTCCGGTCGCCTACCATCATGCGCAGAAATGCCGGATGGTTCCTTGAGAACCGGGATTGAAGCCTTGGAGAAGAGCCGACAAATGTAATCGTTTAGCGCTGAGTGACGTAGTTGACGGCCCCCACCCAGGCGACAAACCAAACTGTGGTGCCCAAACCCGTCCGCCTCAGCGCCACATCGGCACGTGTATTTATTTTGAATGACCAGGCCAAGTCTGAAGCCAATGGCAAATCTTACAAACTCGTCGTCAAGCCTGGTGCCCACAGAGGTGTTAGGCCACGATCTCAACCACCCACAGCTGGCAACGCTGGACATGGCCAACAAACGAGCGGTGGAAAAGTCGTCGCCGCATGAAGACAACAAATTTTGAAAGATTTTTTTATATTCTTCGTTCAAAATTTGGACGTGCGTACGGTCCCCCGGGGCGGACGCTGGGGGAAGAATATCGCGGCAACGAAAAAACCGGTGGAGCAGGGAAAACTGTAGGTCGAGAGTGGCAGCGGCAGAAGAATTATAAACAACGGGAGCCAGCTGAACCACGCTAAGCAACCCCAGCCCACCAAATCGCACCGGCAGCTGAGCCTGGGACCAACCACTGTCGGTCACTTGAACATTGCAAATCGACGACAGGGCGGTGCGCAGGGCTCCGTCAAATTCGCCCAATTTAGAAGGGTCAATGTGTTTAGATGTACGCAGGAAGTACATCAATTTGGGCAAACTGAGGGCATTGCGGATAATAGTCAAGGCATCATGGGCCGAAAGACAGGAAACACGACCCAGGGCGAATTCAAGCTCAGAGAGCTTTTGGTCAAAAAACTTTATTTGATAATCGCCCTCGACCAAGGGTGTGCCCAAAAAACTCAGTTCTGATGCACCAACTCTGGGTATTTCAGTCAGCGCATGTGGCACCTGAAATAAACTTTGGCAGTGAAGTTCGCATTTTTTAATGTTTAACTCTAAGCCAATTGCAGCGGAGTTATGCTTCAAATATTCGTAGCCATCGGCCAGAGTTGGACCGTCCGAAGCTATGCTGATATCATCCAGATAAGCGCAAACGAAGGTGGACGAAGCTTTCTCTAAGAGTGGATGAAGAGTTAGTGCGAACAACAAAAGACCAAGGGGATCACCCTGCTGTACCCCCTCGGACGATTCTACAACCCAAGAGTGGTAGCCAAGGGAAGAGACTCCGCCATAAGCAGAATGGCAAAAATTATAGATGTTGGGGTAAAAAAGTTTGACAGCCTCCAACATCGAGTCTCTTCTCAAGGCATTGAAGGCATTTTTAAAGTCCAGTTTTAGAAACCCCCATTGATCGGGGAGGTCGGTGACCAATCTTCGAACCGCATGAACAGCGGCCTCAGCGCCACCCTTAATCCCGACACCCAACTGAGTCGGGTAGAACTTGGTCTTGAGTTCGACCACGACCAGGGCCAAGGCACATTTGCCGGCCAACCTCCTCCAAACGTTCCTGACCGCAATCGGTCTGACCCCTCCGTCTTTCTTATTTAAAGCTATTAGCCGGCCTCCAAAAAAGAACCGGCGGACGGAGAGTGGGCAAGCTCCAGATAGGATCAAATTAATGAATTGGGTTAAGGAGTTCAGTGTGTCGTCAATTGGCAAGGGGCCTGAAAAAACATCCTTAAGGTGCTGGGGTCGTAGGCCATCCAGGCCTCCAGAAGAACCGTTTTTGAAAGATTTAACGGCCCTCAGCACCTCGGCGGGAGAAACGCAACCAGCCGTTGGTGTCAATGCGGGAAAGACCCGCCTGTCCACCGGAATTTTTGGGTGGATAGAACATAATTTATCGAAGGTGGCCGGCGAGCTCTCCGCCAGGCCCTCCGGCGAGCAGACAAGTCTGACCGCCGAGGACAGGTTTCCCTGTTCAATACAAGATGACACAGCGTTGATCCATCGATCGGGGTTGTGCTTTTGTGATTTGGCATTATTGAACCCATCAAAGCACAGTACCAGGGTTTCAAGACCAATAGTTGAATATTCGCTTAGACGCTTGTTGACCAGATTGCCCTGGTTGACCCGGCGACCTCCTCTGGAAGTCTTCTGTAAGACGTATGGGACAAAACAGTGGAGTCTAACCCACTGAGCCGGGTCACCAGGGTCGTTACAAACAGCCGTCAGCAAGGCGTTCAGATCATGTGCGAACTTCTCCCTGCATGGCTTAGGGATATGGTCGTACACCGGTACACATTTCAGCACGGCCGTCAGCTTATCAAAAACACCAGAGTAATCCAGGCCGAGAGGATCACCGGAGACCGATGCGGCGGACGACCGTGTGGGCAGCCCAGGCCTGGGGTCGGGTGCGGCACCGAGAGGCGAAGCAGCCCTCGCGCCCGATGGATCAACTTTTTTCCGGGACCCCGAGTATTCCTGTCCTTTCACTTTACCTCCGTGCCGACATAACTTCCCGTCTGGAGTGCTTCTATAGTGGTTAAAGCAGACGGGGCACTGTTGTAACGTTGGAGCCATATGTGATTAAAAACAACCAAGAAACGAGGGAAAGGAAACAAACCAAGTGGGGTGGATGGATGAATGAATGGATGAACAAGCGAATGACCAAAGGAACGGGCCAACGAACAAACGGATGAATGAGTGAATGATGGGGGAATGAATGAGCTAATTACTGAACGGACGAGTGAGGGAAAAAAAGAATGAATGAGTGAATAAATAAATGAATGAATAAACAACCGAACGAATGGATGAATGAATGAATACATGAATGAGTGAATGAATGAACGAGCGAACGGATGAATGACTGAATTATCTTTAAATATTTAACCAGTGTTTCAACTTTTATTTATATAATTTTTTTTTCTTTTCTTTTTTTTTATTGATGAATGAATGAGTGAGCAAATGAGTGAATGAGTGAATACAAAAACCTAGGTAACAGTGTGGGAGGAGACACTATTGCAGCAAACTTTGGCCCAATCTCTCCCTTATAGTTTATTTTTTTTTTATTTTTATTTTTACACAGATTTTAAAAATTGGTTTAGGAAATTTCTTTATTTTATAAATAAATTTTAATTTTAATTTAAACTTTAAATTTTAATTTGAAAAGTAAATTAAAAATAAATGCCGGTAGAAGGTAAATAAGTTAAAATGTAGTGAACTTTCCAATAATAATAAAAACAGCTCACACCTGGCGCAGGCCGGTGACCTGTAGCAGCTATGAGCTGTGAATAAATTATAATATTGATAAAAAAAAACAAAAAACGAGAAAATTGGCCGAGGCAGGGCAGAAAAACGATAAAAAATGACGGAAAAACAAACCCGGGACAAAATTACAGCCGATGACCCCAAAAATCATCTAAAATCGATGTATGTATGTATGTATGTATGTATGTATGTTTGTATGTACGTGTGTGTGTGTTTTTTTTCTTATTTCAACGCTTGCTGTTAAGTATATATTTTCTGATTATTATTATTATTCTTCTTATTATTATTATGGAAAAAAACATGGGCGTAAACAAAATGTCCCTATAACGGCAACACAAAATTAACTATAAAATTTTAATACATAAACAGTGTACATGAATATATGTTAATATGTTCTGCTCATACATAAAGTTCAAAGAAAAATATAAATATAAACAAAAATATAAGAGAATAATTTTTTTTTATTATTAATTCAACTAACTATATTTTATATATCTGCATACAAACATTTTTCTATCAAATAAATTTTTCATTACGAATTTTCACTTAAATTGTATTCCTGTGACACAGTTAGTTGTTTGAAAACAATTGCATTTATAAAATGAAAACAATTTCACAAAAATATAATTCTACTCGTTAAAATATATAATCAAGCAAAAGCATTTTTTATTGCGTTCAGTAAAGCATAAATGTTCTCTTAACCAGTTTATGATTACGAATCAGATTCCGAACCGGATGATAATTCACTTTCATTTTCAGCTTCCATTTTCTTTTTAATGAAAAACCAAATTCCAAAAATAGCTGGCAAAACCAACAAAACCAATAAATACCACATACTTAATTTCTCTCTAAACAGTTCACTGGAGGCGGTAGACGCAGTTGCTGCTGCAGAAATGTTTGCAGTAGTGGAGGAATAAACACAGGAAATGGCCGTTCTATTTCCGTTTTTCACTTCTTCACAGGTTTTATTTCCGCATCTTCCGTTGAAAAGATCGCATCCGACTTCAAACACTTCTAACTCTGCGAGTGCGGTAACACCTTCATGCAGTCTTTCATCCGATTGTTGGATGATGACGAATTGTGAAAAGATGGTGAAGTCTTCACAGAAGACAACCATGGGGTTTCCACTTTGTATTGCTTTTTCTGGTCCATATCCGCACAAGTTAGTTTGGTTTCTTATGTCGTTTTTGGAAGTTGTGTCGAATGTTTCGTTGAGTCTAACGACAAACTTGTCCATACGATTTGAAATATGTGACTCTGCAATAAATCTGTTATAGGCTCTAATGAAACCAACGCAGTATAAATTGAGTAGGTCGACAGCCATCCAAGCTGGCATAACATCATTGATGTGGGATATAAAATATCCATTGTGTATGCCGTCAGTTAGGTATACTTTTTTCTTAAAATATTTACCATCTAATGATTCTGTAAGCCAAAACGAACTGTAATATGGAGGTTTATGAAGAGCTATATTCTTCCTGAAAACCTCACATTGGTACCACTTGTTTCTAACCTTACCAGAGGGACAAACACATTCAACGTACTTATTACCATTCACCGTGGACTCAATACATTCCATTCCAACGGAACAATCTCCTCCACCTGAAGAGCAATCTCTTTCTCTGCATGAATCACCTCTCCATCCCGGATCGCATCCATCGGGACATTTTGCTGTTATTTCGTAACTTCCGTTGTTTCTGTTTCTGCAGTGAGAATAAGTCGATACTTCTTGCTGGAAATCGTATTGGGAGCGTGTTGAAAAGATTGTGGTCTTGGCTTGGTGATTTTTATGATAACACTCGCAAACTTCGTTCAAATCATGTTTGCATTTTTCACATATCTGTTCTAGCACGTAACCTAGAGTTATTTGATGCTCTTGGAAACAACTGCACCTACCACTTTTGATTGTTTGAAAGAATGTATGATTCGTTTCAAAGCAAAAATATGCGCACATCTCGAGAGGGAAAGAAGCTGGTAAGTTCATCATGATATTCTCAGTTTGACGATCATTCACGCTTATATAGGTATCGTGCGTCTTTCGTGGCTTGCTTTTATAAACGGAATATGAATCCTTTCCACCACAAGCATCTTTATTGTCGCAAGGAACATTACACTGGGTTGAAGCCACTGCTGAATCTAACTTTTCAATACAGTTGCATTCTTTTCCACTCTTCAAAGCGATCATATTGTTACGTTCATCTGTGCACTCCTGTGAACACTTATTCACTGAGCCAACTGATGCAACTGTCTTCGTTGAGCTGATGTTTCGATAGCATCCTATGTAAGATTCTTTCAAGTCGATTGCTGCATGGGCTACTGAGGACAGGCTGAGGGAAATAATTAATAATAATGATAATAATGTGCAAATTATTAATGACATTAAAAGAAATTCAAATTCTGAAATCGGAACTATTTATTTTAAGTTTTGTTTTTATATTGTTTACAATTTTGTGACATAATGATATGACGTAACTTCGTTGGTTTACTTCTTTTGTATTAAAATTCTATTCAAATCATAATTTAGGACTGAATTTTTTGTCATTTGTTACCATTCCAAAAGAACGTAGATTGTTTTAAATAAAAAATTAAAAAATATTTAAAAAATTTTAAATATAACAATAATTTGCTAGTTAAATAAAAATATTAATAAGATTTAATAGTAATAACAATAATAATAATAACTTTAGTGTTATTACATTTTATTGATAGAATTGTTTGTATGCATGTGTGCGTTTGTATACATCCGTGTACATGAATGTATGGATGTATGTATGTATGTATGTATGTATGTATGTATGTATGTATGTATGTATGTATGTATGTATGTATGTATGTATGTATGTATGTATGTATGTATGTATGTATGTATGTATGTATGTATGTATGTATGTATGTATGTATGTATGTATGTATGTATGTATGTATGTATGTATGTATGTATGTATGTGTGTGTGTGTGTCTATGTATTATTATTATTATTACGGAAATTTATATACAGCGCTTTTTTATTGTTGAATCTCAAAAGCGCTACTAAATCATAGACAAATAAGACGGACATTCATTGTGCAAATAAATATGTTTTAAGTTGACTTCGAAATTGTAAATATGATAGGTTAGGGTCACGTAAGTATGGAGGTAAACCATTCCAAACAATCGGGCCAAGAACCGCAAAGTTGCGGGAACCCGTCACCAACTTTGTGGTCGGGATAAAAAATAAATTGCGCTCGTTTGATCGGAAGGAATATTTTGAAAAATGAGATTTGTATGATTCCAATCTATCGATGAGGTAGATCTTTTGGTGACACCATAAAAAAGGCCATTGCAGTAGTCCAGTCTGGAAAAGACGAAAGAGGAAACCAAGCTTTGAAGAACAGACGTGTTTAGTGATTTTTTGACATTGCGTAATAAACGGAGTTGGTTGAAGCAGACCCTCACTAAATTATTAATATGTAAATCCATTTTTAGGTTTGAGTCAATAATAACTCTACGGACTACGGACAGATGTGAAAAT